AATTTTGGCGACAAACAATGCAATGTAGGCATACTGCTTCTAATATATCCAAACTCGTTGGTCATAAGGTGGCAGAAGCATCATGTTTTTCATTCCTTTCAGCTTAAATGTAGGAACTTGATGCTGCGTCATTCTCAAACAATTGATCCTCAGATGTGATTACGGCAACATCGATCATCCAAAGTTCGGACTAATTAGCGACCATGCAACCAGATCCAGTCAGCTGCAGCTATTGTTTACGATTTGACGAGATAATGCTAAATTAATAACTAGTGTGTTGACGTGCCGATGATGGTTCAAACTAGGTTGTCTCAAGTAACAGATCGCTTTAGCGACATTGTCAAATTGCTTCAGTTAAGATCCATCAGGTTACTCCGTATCGGTGCAACTAGGACGGCTAAGGACGTCTTACATACAAAATCGGCAGAACTTCATCGATATCCTCTTGTTAATGTGTACAGGGTGGCCAACTAAGAATGCGAGCTATTGTATCTGGGAACCTATCCATCGCAGATGCCCGCAGCAAAACGGCCAAAAGAAAAACCTCGAAAATCTTGTCAAGTTTCTGAAATGGCCGCTAGGGGGCGTAACAATCTAGAATCTAAAAAGTGATGTTTCTGTGAATTCCGCTATGTTAACCTAAGAAAAAAATAACTGACCTTTAAAGCCGAGGATAATGCGAACTTTTTTGTTTGGCAGTTTTTGCTGTGTTTCTAATAATAAAGTGGTGGCCAGTCCCGCAAAAATATTTTATTTTGAAGATGCCTGTTCCGATATCGATAGACTTACAAGAAACTACCTCGATAATGCTCAAGCCACCCTCTTTCCTTGGGGGGGGGGTTACGATTGGCGGGATAGTGATCTATAATCATAATAATAAATAATCTTTGTTAATACACATACGTGTGGCGAAGCTTATCCAAATGGCTACTCTTATACTCAACCTCACTGTGTGCGAAAGAGTAATATAGTTAAACTCGATACACAAACAATAGTAATAATAAGAAGAAAAATAAATGTGAGTGAATGAAATGAATAGATAACGTGTTGACAACACACTTGAACTATCAATATCCCATAAGCTGTTTCTTAACGAGTCTCCTGAAAGGTACTATTGTCTTACTGTGACACGTTTTATCTGTAGAGTTGTATAACTTGACAGCATAAAATGTGAACCTTTTCTGGAAAACGGCTGTGTAGTGGACTGGCATCGCAATTTAGGTTGCGTCTGAGGTTTCTCTGATTAATGTTACCTCTTGGTGCTAGCTTTTCTAAAATGTACGGTGGCTTTTTTTGTGCGAACTACTTTATGGACAAACACCTTCATAGCATAAACAAACTGTGATTCCATCTTTAACCAATTCAAATCTTTAATCTTCGAAGAGACATGACTATATTTACGAAGTCCAAACACAAACCTACAGCAGCTGTTTTGATTTTTTTGTCACCTATACCGATCCGACGAATCCAAATAAGAATAGAACAAAATCAGAGAATGTTGCAAAGATGACAGGATCAAACTTTCAACTAATTTTTTCCCAGTCTTAGAGTTTAAAATGAAACGGTTGGAGTATAAAAGTTTTAATTTGGCATACGGTTTTTGAGACAGGTAACCGATGTGTCTATCAAACTTCAAGTTAGAGTCCAAGATAACACCCAGGTTTTTAGAATTTTCTACCATGCGGATGCGCTCGTTATTTATAATGAGTACAATTGCGTCCTTTATGTTATTATACATGTGTTTCGGAGAAAAAAGCTTACTTGAACTCTTTTCAGGATTGATCCTGAGACAGTGCTTTTACAAAAATACGTAATATTGATTAGGTCAGTATTAATTTTAAACGACACTTCATTTAACTGAACATATTTGAAGTGAAATGACAATTGTGCGTCATCAGCATACGTTTGTATAGAACAAAATTCCACACATGAGTCTGAGTCTATAATGTAAATTAAATATAGCAGAGGTCCCAGAATTGACCTCTGCGGAACGCCAGACGAAACCACAGTACTAGAAGAGACGCCCCTAACCGACTTAACTACCTGTTTTCTTTCAGCCAAGTAGCTTTGGAAAAATCTTAGCGGACAGATAGTCCAATGTACTTCAGCTTGCTCAACATGATTTTGTGATTAACTGTATCAAAGGCTTTTGGGAATTCAATCATCACTAATATGGTATTAATGTGCCTGTCTAAGTTACCTACGATGTTGTCAGTTAGATGAAGCAAAACTGAAGTAGTGCTATGTCCCGCACGAAATCCTGATTGATGATTAGGAAGCAAGTCATTTTGCTGTAAATATTCTACTAGTTGAATGTACACTGCTTTCTCTAATACCTTCGAGAAAAAGCACAGCAAACTAACAGGCCGCAAATGATTATGAGTGGTTGGATTTTGACTTTGGCTTAGGGATGATAATAGCTTCCTTCCAAGCCTCAGGAAAAGTGTCGGTCTCAAGGCATATATTAACAATATGTGTTAAATACAATAAAATTTCAGGTAAGCAGTAACCTAGCATGTTCAAGTTAATTTTATCACTCCCTGTAGCAGATGACTTGATAGAGGTAACTAGGTCCAAAATTTCTTCAGAGGTCATCATCCTAAATGTAAATGGAGTAACATCTTGCCTGTTAAATCTGTTCTCATAAAACTCTACTGTACTGTCAATCAAACGAGAATTGATGTTATGATTTTGTTAATTTAACGTGAAGTGGTTATTGACTTCGTTAGGGTCTAATAGATCATAAGGTATTTCAATGTGTTTCTGGGGACAAATATTCATTACTCTCATCTGACCCCAAGCTTTTCTAGAATTGAGACTATCAAAGCGAGATAAATATGTCTTTTTCTCACGCCGGTTTGAAGCAAGTGAATAATTTCTTAACTGCTTATACGCTGTCCAATTTTCGTCTGATAGATTGTGAGAAAATTTAATTAAAGCCTCATCTCTCGCCTTAAGAATGACCTTAAGTGCAAAAGTTAACCATGGAGCAGCTTTTTTGGTGACACGAGCCGTCCGAATAGGAGCATGAAAGTTAGAAAGCTCAATAAGCAGCCCATTTTAGAGTTAATATCAGTAATATACAGCATTTCTTCTAAGCCAGCTGCAGCCAAATCCTGCTTGAATTTGATTACAACAGTGTTCTTAAAATCCCTATAGGTTATAAATTTTTACCTCACCATCCACCAACACTGCTCTCCGAAATCAAATGCAGATAGCTTGTGCTGAGATACCTCAAAAAGGCTTCAACGATCTCCTCAGAAGTTCGGTCTGATGACTGGATGAATGTATACGGTAACGGGGTGGAAAGTCCAGCGATACAGCGTATGTTATCATTCCAAAATATAATCGTGACTCCCTTTCACTTATGTCTAACAGTATATACAATTTCATCAAAACTAAATCGTTTTTACAGGGTGTTATTTGTCATTGGGTATATTATGTTTCGATTGACACGCATGTTTTGCATACATACGCCTTGTATAATAGTTATCAAAACGACCATAGCCTCTCCACTCGTAATAGAATCAGCCTGGAATCTATTTCAGTTCGAACGTCATTGTCCGTGTGCAATGTAGCACTGATGGCACTATTCTGCCATTCTGCTCTCCTCCATCCCCAGACAAGCAGCCAATCAGGTGGAAGATTTCGATTTGCGATGTCATCCAGCAGCCATTGTTCATATGGAGATTGCGTTCGACTAGGTGCATTCACGGAAAAATGCCACAGACAGTCATTTGGTTGAACAACGACATTTACTCAGACACAATTATCTGGATATTTAGACACCCAACAACCCTGTTGCAACGCAGTTTTCAGTATAATGCTACCACCACGTACAATTCTTCACCGGTGTCCTCATAGGCAGTCTTTCATCAAAAGGTCAAATCATCGTCAACACTCCGATGACTTTATGGATTAAGCAGTTAGACTTTTCTTTATTTTTCTAATCATGCTTGTTACTGTTTTATTAGTTTGTGGGGACTACGGGGGCGGGTTGGAATATCTGCCTTAGAGGTTAATTCCGAGTAATCGTTTATTGTATTCGTTACTTTGATTACTAGGAGTACTATGGGTATAACGATTTGGCAATCTGCGTCGTGTGACTAATGTCGAATTTAAACAAGTTGAGTGGAACCGAATCTTGTAAGAAAATAGACGACCTTAAAATTTGCAAAATGTTATAAGCATAGTTTATTCAAGACTGTCGTGTTTAATGCAAACATTGTATCTTAAAACTGTATGCTTATCGAGATGAGTTATCATAGGATGGAGTGTCATATTTTATGACTCATATGAGCCTACAAACTGAAAATACTTTGTATTTACTAGAAATACTTAAAAACATGTCTTTTAGTCAGAACGATGATCTGTATATGGGCTTAAGGAAATTCGGAATGGCATGTGACTTTTCGAAGCATTTCAATTAAGCATAATATACCAGTATAAAAAATTCTACGTTGAGCTTGGTCTACACATACTATTGCTGTTCATACTGAATTATATTTTTTTTTAAGCAAAACAGTGCATGGAAACACGAGTCAAATTGACATAACTTTTATTATTGTGGTTTTCCTGAACGGTGGTGTTACCTTGTTGTCGCTTTTCTGCCTCATAATACTGCCGAACTTTGATCCGGTCCAATCGACTACTTATTCCTTTTCAGGTTCCCAAGATCACAACAATAAAAGCGAATTTGTGTCACGGTGTAAATAGGTAAACTTCAGATGTAAAAACAATAATTGGTAATTATTACCAAATTCTATGTCCGCCAATAAAAAAAATGAATTGCCAGGTTTACATCTGAATTTGGGATGTCTGGCAACCCTGGTGCATGAGCGGCAGTGCTACAGTCTAACCAGCTTTACCACTCAACGATCAACGATTGTGCAGGTACCGGGTAGGGATACGGAAAACAGAGTAATCAAAGTAATCATTTCGTGCTCGGATTGGTACTCGTTACTTCGGGTATCTATGGGTAACGAGTACTCGACTTCCATATGATTACTTTTCCAACACCACTAGTCGCGACATTTGTGTCAAAAGAGGGTCATATTGCAACAAATCCTCTTAATGAGCAGAGAACTGTTACTGCGGATTGGTATACCACCATTTGTTTGCCAAAAGTCATCACCGAGCTTCGAAAAATCAACCCTGAAGGAAAAATCATCCTCCAACAAGACAATGCAAGCTCGCACACAGCCCAAAAAACAAGACAGTATTTAACGGAAGAAACCGTGGAATTATTGGACCATCCTCCATATAGTTCCGATCTAAGTCCTATCGATTTCTTTACCTCCCCGAAAATTAAAAACAGACTGCGTGGTCAAAGATTCCAATCACCAGAAGAAGCAGTTGACGCATTCAAAAATGCCGTGTTGGATCTGCCAGCAAACAAGTGGAATAAGTGCTTCGAAAATTGGTTCGAGCGCATGCAGACGTGAATTAATCTTCGTGTAGAATACTTACACAATACAATAAAGTCATTTAAAACTACCTACCGTGAATTATGTAGTCGGAACTTCAAACTTCGTTTTTAAAAAACTTTATTTGATTGCAACAATAGTTTACATGGACCGAACCGGAATTACAGTGTGTGTGTCCGCTGTGACTGAGATTGAATGACTATATAATTGGCGCAGCCCGCAGTAGGATTCCCAAAGGGATTTTCGCCGATTAGCCCTTGAGTCCGAACTCTTAATTGGGAATCACGAACCTCCGTGACGAGCCGGTACGACTGAAGAAAGAAGAAAGAATTTGGACCACAAGTGCCCTTTGTCCTGTTGAAGTCGACGTCCACCTGAGGAACCTAGGCCAAGAACGGGATGAAGTACTGGACCTATCAGTAGGTGCTCATTGTATCCTTATTTTTTCATGAGTGACTCACCCCGACCTGTACATCCTTCCGAAGGTGATAGTGCAGATCAAATCGCTAATCGCATAGCAAGCTTAGAATTAGAAAGTAGAGAAATAAGACAAGCAAACTAAACTATAGAAAGGATAATAATGACGACCCCCAGTAGAAATAGTACCCCCCAGTTCGACATAAAATTACTCCAAATTGTCCCAGAATTTGATGGGAATCCCTGTATACTATATAGATATTTAGAAATAAGCAAAGATTTATTAAATAACTATTGGAACACTGACGATACAGTATGTGTCCAAAACAAAATACTGCTGCATGGCATTTTCTCGAAATTGACTGGTGCTGCAGAGCAAGTATTTTCTCATAGTGGTTCCACAGACTGGCAGAGCATAAAAAATTTGCTAATTGCTCATTTTAGTGATCAAAGAAATGAGAGTAGTCTTATCTCAGATATGACTGCCCTTAGAGAAAATTCTAATGAAAGCTCTTTACAGTTTTATTCCAGAGTTGTAACCATGCTGAATCATTTACATAACTATATAAATATTCATGAAACAGTTGATGCTATTAAAACAAGTAAAAAGGCACTGTATGATAGTCATGCATTGCATACACTTTTAGTAGGTTTAAAGGAGCCACAAAGTTCCATGATTCGGTCGATGAAACCTAAAAATTTGGCAGAAGCTCAAGCTTATATTAGATAATAACATTAGATATTTACAAAAGGCTGGTGCACATTCAAATTTCAATAAGCCACCTCAGCCTGCCCTTCCATCCAAACCACATTTTCAAAATTTGTTTAAGCCTCAAATGCAGCCTATGAATCAATTTAGGCCTCAGCAAAATTTCAATTATCAGCCTCAATTCCCAAGAGGACTAGTTCCGATTCAACCTAGACAAAATCCTCTTCCACAAAAATTTCCAACAAACGCACAAGTTTTTGGCAATAGACCTAATGTTAATGTTTGGCGTAATCCGCCTAATCAAGGACCTTCCTACAGGCCTACTCCTATGAGTGGTGTTAGTAGCATCAATAGAAATAAGAATTTCCAAAATAATTATTTTAGGCCTTCTGGCCCAAGGAACTTTGCTTCTCAAGAATTACACAACGTTGAGAGTGATCCTTATGATCAAAATTTTGTAAACAACCCTTACAATGACTATTACTCGGAATATTGTCAGGATAGTGAAAATCAGTATGACTGTTCTGATCTATATTACGAAAACCCCGATGAGACACAAAATGATGTTTCTGAAACTGGTCAAAAGCCTGATGAAGAAAAACAAAATTTTCAGATGGCCGTGCCCATGATAGAGGAGACATAATATACTTAAACACGATTTATGACAAAACAGAGTTACCTTATATTGAAATTAAAAATCCGCCTTTAAAGCTTCTTATTGATACTGGTGCAACGAAATCATTTTTAAATCCTGATCTTGCACAATTGCATTTTCCAAAATGTATTTATAAAGAACCATTCGAAGTAACTTCAGTTTTCCAGCATTCGAAGAGAGACTATTGTGCTAAAATTCTTGCCTTCTCAGAACTCAATGTTAGTGAGCCTATAAAATTTCATTTGTTCAAATTTCACAAGTATTATGATGGTCTGATTGGTTTAGATATTTTGAAACTTCTAAATTCGCATATTGACCTTAGAAATTCTATGTTGCGTACCAAAAACGCCAAAATTCCAATCAAATTTCATGGTTTGAAAAATCGTTTGTTATTTTTCATAGAAATTGAGCCCTACATGGCGGCCCAAGCCGAAATTCCTGTCGATACTTATAATGGAGAAATTTTGATTCCAAATTCCAAAATTAGACATTGTGTAATCAAGGAAACGCTTACTCATGCTATAAACGGTTATGCCCTAGTTGACCTAGAAAATCCAAGTAACACTTATCAAGAAATTTCCTTTATGAGCCTATTGTTTTATTTCCATTCGACGCAAACAATTACGCTTTATTCCACGCTATTATTAAACCATCTGAATCAGCTTCGCCGTTGCGACGTGATATCAGTAACCTGATACGAACATCTCATCTCAATAATGAAGAAAAAACTCATATTCTAAAATTGTGTCAAACCTACTCAGACGTATTCTATTACGAGGGTGATGCGTTAACTTTCATAAAACCAAATTAAGCATCATATTAGGACCACCGGTGAAATTCCTGTTCTTATAAAATCGTATCGTTATCCACACATGCTCAAAAACGAAATGCAAAGCCAAATTAGATCCCTTCTAGATCAGAATATTATTCGACACAGTAGTTCAGCTTGGAATTCTCCAGTTTTTCTCATTCCCAAAAAACCTGATGCTAGTGGTAAAAAGAAATGGCGTATGGTGGTTGACTATCGAAAGGTTAACGAAAAAACCATAGATAATCGCTACCCCATTCCATGTATTTCTGACATTTTAGACAAATTAGGTCGTTGTAATTATTTCACAACTTTGGATTTAGCTAGCGGTTTCCACCAAATTGAAATAGCCCCGGATGATATTCAAAAAACAGCGTTTAGTGTTGATGGAGGTCATTACGAATACCTTCGTATGAGTTTTGGTCTTAAAGGAGCACCAAGCACATTTCAGCGTGTTATGGACAATGTCTTGCGAGGACTAGATAACACTATGGTGTATATGGATGACATCATAATTTATTCTACTTCTTTACAAGAACACATTGTATCATTGAAAAAGGTTTTCCAAAGGTTAAGGGAGACAAACCTCAAAGTTCAATTAGACAAATCCGAATTTTTGAAAAAGGAAGCAGCTTTTCTTGGTCACATTGTCACATCGCAAGGAGTAAAACCAAACACCGACAAAATTCAAGCCATTCTCAAATATCCATTGCCTAGAACCACCCGCGAAATTAAACAGTTTTTAGGTTTGATTGGTTATTATCGTAAGTTCATTAAGGACTTTGCAAAAATCACTCGCCCTTTCACCCTATGTTTGAAAAAAGGAGCAGAAATTAAACATGACGAAAAATTTCTCAAAGCTTTTGAACATTGTAAGAATCTTTTAACAAATGAACCATTATTACAATATCCGGATTTTGAAAAGCCCTTCGTATATCCTACCGGCTGCGCCAATTATGTAGTCGGAACTTCAAACTTCGTTTTTAAAAAACTTTATTTGATTCCAACAATAGTTTACATGGACCGAACCGGAATTACAGTGTGTGTGTTCGCTGTGACTGAGATTGAAGTTCCGACTACATAATTCGTGTTGTTTTATTTCCATATGCAAAACTTAAAAGGCGTCCCTCGAACTACTACGACAGACATTAAAATGTATTTCACTGTAACAGTTAGTAATTCAAAATTAAAATTTATTGTAATGATTACAATGCGACCTGTTGCAATAAGTATTTCTAAGCGACTTTTAAGGTATTTTCATTATGAGATCTTGTGTGAACATGAGAATACTTAAAACAATGTTAATAGCCTAGTGATTAATTCAAAGCTGCCCAGCATTGCTTCCTTAAACAGTTTCGGCAATATGTTATCAGAAGGGAGCATAGTAACTTAGAGAAAGTAGGCGTAGCTTAATCATCTTTCGGGAAACTGTTCGTAAGTCCTGGTAGAACAGCTATTCTGGGAAGAAGAAATGCAGGAGTTTCGCTGTTCTCTTGAGCCTCATATCTGGAAGTTAACTATGTTTGGCGATATGATCAAATGACTTTGTCAACAACGGATGCATTTACAAACTCTTCTGATGAACCTCAACCAGTGGTGGGTGTGGTGGTGCATTGTACAATCGTATACGCGTATACAATTGTAATTGCATAGGTCTTGATATTCATGTTGACCATGTATCCAATGCAGACAATGTATACAATAGCAAATTCTGGTTCAAAGAGGTCGAAAAGTATAGATAGTCATTCAAAACAGAACTTTGACATGTAAGCTTATTTATTACTTTGAACTAATACCGACATAGACTCACGTTTACAGAAGTAGTATGCTTTGGCAAATACGTTATCTTGGTGAAGAACGTAAATCCTTTTTTGTTTCATTTTACTTTTCAAATTTCGTCGGCCTTAGATGCAAAGGACCAAACTCCAAAATCCGAAATTGTTCAGGTAATACAAAAAACTTCCCAGAAAAAAAGAATTAGTAAAACAAAATTAGTTTCCAGAATATTTTATTTCTATTTTTTGCTAGATACAAGAAAATAATGGTGATTTTCAAAATTAGGTTTTATTTGTAAAAAAGTGTGAGTTTAACAGCTTAAATTAGTTATAAAACTAAGCTTTAAAGAAGCAAAAAAGGCAAAGAAAGAATCGTTTTACAAATGTGTTAAATTATCACAAAAATAATGAACGTCCTCAAGAATAGAAGATTTAAGATACATTAAATGTTGAATCTTTCCGGATTTGATTGGTATGGGAGTCGCATACATCAACGGTAACTCTTCTAAATTCCAAATGTTTTTATCTCTTTTCTTCAGTCTAAATCGTAAAGGTGTCCATTCCTCTGTATGCCCGATTTTGAATAAAATTCCGTTTTCATTATATTGAAGCGCTCTAATGTCTGAGACAGTCGGATCACCTGCCGTTCT